AATGTATCTAAAATTTTTGTGGAAATCAAAAGACCCAAAATTGTGAAAATAATTTTTAGAAAGAACAAAGTTGGAAGACTTTTCAAAAGGATCTTTCAAAAAGCTTTTCATAAAGACTTTTCGTCAAGCTAGAGTAATTAAGATAGGTGGTCCTGGCATAAATACAGACATATTGATAAGCCCAGAAATTAACACAAAAATATATGGACAATTGATTACTGAAAAAGAAGCCAAGGTCATTCAATCAGTAAAGTATAACATTTCCAGCAAATTATTCTGCTACAAATGGATATCCAAATAAATGAATCTCAACTCTTGCCTCATTCTGCATTATAAAAATTTATTCTAAGTGGGTCATAGCATAAATGAAAAAGTTAAAACTATAAAATTTCTAGAAAAAACAGAAACAATTCTTAGTGAATCTGGGCTAAACAAAGATTTTTCTACGCAGAACACAAAATGAATGAAAAAAGAAGCATAGGTTGGGCTTCATCAAAATTTAAAACTTCACACTTCAAAAGACACTATAAGAAAAGAAAAAGATGGACTGGGGTTGTGGCTCAGTGGTGGACTGCTCGCCTAGCATGCATGAGGCACTGGGTTCGATCCCCAGCACCACGTAAATATAAAATAAAGATATTGTATCCACCTAAAACTAAAAAATAAATATTCTTTTTAAAAAAGAAAAAAATGAAAAGGCAATCTACAGGCTGGAATAAAACACAGCACTTGTAACCTTATAATTAAAAATCATTCTGTATTAGAAATATGTAAAGACTTCTTAAAATTCAATAATAACAACACACACAACCAAATGTTTTAAAAGCAAGGATAAGTCTTAGGATACCCCGTCAAAGATCTCCATAGCAAACAAGCAATTGAAAATGTTCAATAAAGCCAAGCACAGTGGTGCACCCCTGTAATCCCAGTGGCTCAGGAGGCTGAGGCAGAAAAATCACAATTTCAAAGTCAGTTTCAGCAACTTAGTCACTTAGCAACTCAGCGAGACTCTGTCTCCAATAAAATATTTTAAAAGGGCTGGGGTTGTGGCTCAGTGGTTAAGCACACCGGGTTCAAACCCCAATACCAAAAAAAAAAAAATCGTCAATATCATCAGTCATTAAAGACATATAAATTAACCCCAGTGAGATACCATTATGTACCCACTAAAAAGTCAGAAATTGAAAGTCTGACTGAACCAGGTGGAACTCTCAAAAAATGCTGGTGAGAATGTGGGACAAAAAGAAAGTGGAAACCAATCTGGGAGTTTCTCTAAATGTTAAATATACATCTACCATACAGCCTAGCCATTATAGTCCTAGATATTTACAGAAAAGAACTGAAAACATATGTCTTAAACATCCACGCTGTTAGAGCATATGTACGAATGTTCATAGCACCTTTATTTATACAGCTAAAAACTAGAAACAACTCAAATGTCTACCAACAGGTAAACAAATAAGTAAATGTTGGTAGGTCCTTACTTCAGAAATTGAGTATGGTCCCCCATGATCCCTGTGTCCTGGTATTAACACCTGTGTAATCTCCTATCCTTGGCTCTTACTCTATTTAGCTGCTGTAACAAAACAGGGTGGCTGGGAAGTATAAGACCAAGGCACCAGAAATTTTGTTGTCTAGGATGGGCCTTCTTCTTGGTTCACAGATGGCCATCTGTGTATCTTTGCTGTATCCTTCAAGGCAAGAGACCCACTCATGAGGGCTCCACATTCATGCTCTAATTATTTCCTGAAGGCCCCACCTACAAACGTAATCACATTTTGAGGGTCAGGGTCTCAACATATGAATTTGGGGTAGATATGATCACGCAACATACAGCATCTTAAGTGATTCCTTCTTACTTGTTTCTACTCTATAAAATATAGCAAAGGTAATGTTATTACAAATATATGATTATGTACATGAGAGTACACTGGTCTTTCTGGAGTCTCTGGCTTCCTTGCTGGCTTTGAGGAATAAGCAGCCATGTTGCAGAAGCTCACATGGCAAGGAACTGTGGGTGGCCTCTAGGAGCTGAGAGCAGCCTCCAACTTTCTATCAGCAAGAAACCAAGGTCTCAAACTAAGTCTCAAGAAACTGAATCTGCTGCCAGGTGCAGTGGCGCCTGCCTGTAATCCCAGTGGCTTGGGAGGCTGAGATAGGAGAATCGTGAGTTCAAAGGCAGCCTCAGCAACTGTGAAGCGCTAAGCAACTCAGTGAGACCCTGTCTCTAAATAAAATACAAAATAGGGCTGGGGATGTGGCACAGTGGTCAAGTGCCCTTGAGTTCAATCCCCAGTGCCAGAAAAAGAAAATTTTTTTAATTAAAAAAAAAACAAAACTGAATTTGCTAAAAGGCACAAGTTAAGAAACAAATACCCAGATGAGAATACAGCCCTGAATGACACCTTGATTGGAGACTTGTACAGAACCCAGCTATGCCATGACCAGAATCCTGATCCACAGAAACTGAGATGACATATGTTGTTTTGCACCACAAGATTTGTTATACTACAAGATTCTGTATATGGGAGGTTAAGAAGAGGAGAAGCAAAGTAAAGGAATGGGAAATGCATATGATATTGTAACAGTACTTTATACCTCTAAACATAACAATTCAAACTATTATCTACTGCAAGATAAAAATCATCAAGAAAGGAAATCAAACTGTCTTTTAGCTCTTCTTTGGCTGAAAGACAAAAAAAAAATGAAGAAACTTACACTTAAGTAGTTTGAGTCATGCCACATGTAAACTATAACAAATATTATAAAATAAAGGCAAATGAAAACAACTGGTCTAGTATCCTTTAATGTACTTTAATGGCATGTTTGTTCCACTTTTCACTAATGAGGATAATTGCTTTTTAGAAATGTAACTAATTCACTGAAATGTAAGCAAAGGCTTCTAAGCACCTTTGCTGACCACCTCTCTGGAATAAGAGCTATCTCTTCTGTTCGTCCTCGGTAAGTCCAAAGCGAAGGATATTCAATTGTGCCACCTTGGGCAATCTGAAATACCACAATCAGCTGTTTTTCCATTAGAAAAGCATGAATGTATGTAATCTCCTATAACTTTTTATTTACCAGTATCATCATATCCCCTCTCCTGGTGCCCAATAATCATTCCTAGAAGGCTTCTCTGAGGCAGGGAAACAGTCAGGATTTGCACAGTTCTTGCAGTTTTCTGTGAATGTAATCCACAAGATAGTCTAAGCAAATCTTCACCTTCCGAAATTTTATTATCTGACTTTATATTTTGAGAATTACATAATTGGTATAGCATGGGACAATTAATGTGTGACTACTCTGGTGTACTTATGTAGCTGTGTGTGTGTGTGTGTGTGTGTGTGTCTGTGTCTGTGTGTCTGTGTGTGTGTGTGTGGTGTATCTTATTTTTTCCTGTGCTGTAACCCTATAAATTACACATAAAGGAAATCATCAGAAAGCAGGATACAATACTTAATTCTTAGTGTTCCTGTTACTGACCAAGATACATAACATAAAATAAATGATTTTATGAGTTAAAATGTATTTCATAAGGCCAGACAAAAGAATGTGTGTTTTATCACACACACACACACACACATACAACAATACACAGATTTAGTATGTGAAATTCCCTGTATAGTATACACACAATACAGAAAAATAATCTTACACACTGTTCAGGTTTTGTCTCACCTGAAATTAATATGACGGTCAAAATAAACATTTAAATATTTAACAAAAATTGTTTGCCTTCAGAGAATTTAGATAAGACATTATGTATAGATGGGAATCAGGCAAGAGGATGATGGATGATAAGCAACTGGTATGTGTGAGCCATCTCATTTCTTCGAAGTTTCATGAGAAGTTAAATCTCATCCTTCTATTTCTTTCAACAAACTTCATTTTAACAAATACAGTTATGTATAACCATTCACATTGTAAATAAGTAAACAAATGGCAAGAAACTTAAATACATTACTAAGAACTTTACAATAATTTTTAAAAAACGAAGACTTTCAAGAATTATCTCCATCACTATTTGAATAGTCTCTCTGCATATGGGTTGAGCATCCCTAACCCAAAAATCTAAAATCTGAAATACTCCAAAATCTAAAGTGTTTTTTTTTTTAACACCAACACAATGTTCACAACTTTTCATATTTTGGAATATTTCAGATTTTGGATTTTTAGATTAAAGATGTTCAACTGGTAAAGTCTATGTAAACATTTCAAAACCTGAAAAACTCCAAAATCTGAAATACTTCTGGTCCCAAGCACTTCAGATAAAAGATACTCAATCTGTATTAAGATATATGTGTGCCCAAAAGAAAAAAAGCAAGAATGGGGTTCAGGAAATGAAAATGAGTTTCAGGATGGCAGACTGGGGACCGTGAATTAAAGGGTCTGGCAGAAATCACCATAATCCTTCGTCATAGTATCAATGAAAAGGTGAAAGGATCAATATGTGGCTGATATGCAGAACTTATTTTTTCATTTTTACACTGGAATTAAACCCAGGGATACTTTACCACTGAGCTAAATCCTCACCTCTTTTTTAGTATGAGAAAAGGTCTCTCTAAGTTGCTGAGGCTGGCCTCAAACTTGTAATTCTCCTGCCTCACTTCCCAAGTCACTGGGATTATAGGTGTGTGACACTGTACTTGCCATTTTTTTTTTAAGGCTTTTTCCCTCCTTCTGGAGGCCCCAGCATCTGCAATACAGGGGTCTTCCAGAAAATTGAAGGACTTCAGGAAAAAAGACATGACTTGTTTGTTTTTGTTTCATTTTGTTTTGCTTCATTTGAGTTGGTTTCTAAGGACATGACTTGTAAACTTCATACCAATCCCAAAGATATTAATGAAATATTCAACCTTTTTAAAGATCTCAGCCTCCTGCTAGGAATGAAGAACAGTGATGGGCAGCAGCCACAGAAAGAAGGGCAGCGCATTGAGAAATGGCAGAGATCCTAGAAATGACCAGCCTAGCACCCCTTTGCCAGATCTTGATGCACTTACCTTTTCCTGTAGCCTAATGTTATCCCACACTTTGCTGCACACCATACACTCAAATGCATCGATGTAATTGTCCTGATTGATGTCTTGCACTCCCCACTTCCTTTCCCTGAGAGTGGCCAGAAGCCGCTGATTAGAGATCTCACCCTTCAGCTTCCATTCTACATAGGCCTCATACAATCTGTCATCGTAATCCAGTTGTCTGATGTAACTCGCCAGTTCTCTGGGGTGAGAAAATTCTGATACAAGAATAGCACTTCTGTTACTTGGAAGCCAGTCTGCAATGCTGGGGGATCCGTAATAGACAGGGACAACCCCCAGTTTCAGTGGTCTCCAGAACTTCTCGGTGATGTAGTCATCACAAACTGCATTCTCAAAAGCAAGGATAAACTTATACTGTGCAATAATCCTATAAAAGCCATCGGCATCCATGGAGGCTGGATTTTTCAGCTGCTGAGGGAGATCTTTGTTTCGTAAACACTCACCATAGGAATCAACCTCAATGTAGGTCATCAGCTCACGAACATAGCTGTCCCTGTCTGATGGTGGGTCACAGTCTGACTGTACGTACACCAGTGGAGCAAGTCGTTTCCTTAGGTTGTTTTTGGACTGCAAAGGAACCAAGTATCGGAGTGACTTCAGGACTTCCACACCCTCCAGGTATTGGGTAGTCAGTGGCAAGTGGGAATGCCGGCTGAAGGTGGCAGTGTAATTGAACAAGGTGATAACTGGTTTATGAAAGAGCTTATAATTGTTTTTTGGGGACTCTTCATGAAAAAGGGCCCATTCATGATGGGCTTTCCGAGGCAGAGGTAAGCTCTCTATGTTAAAGTCAGTACCTAGGAAAAGAAAAGAAAATGTTAACTAGTATGCCCAAAAGAATCTTGGTATCTATGGTTAAGACGAGAATTCAGAGTCTGAGGCTATAAATAAGGAGTATGTTACACTGTCACTGTAAAATGCCTGGCAGTCAATCATCAAGAATTTCACCCCCAAAACTGCATAAGGACAGGATTGTCAAGTAGAAGGAATATCCTTCTCATTCTGTGAAAAAGGAAATGAGAGTAATGTCTGGTCAGATGCTAAAGGAGAATTTATTCCACTGCCTCCTGCAATTCAGTTTCCATTGGAGCGGTGTTGTCCATGGGAGGGCAGAAGAAATAAAGAGATCAAGATAGACAGTTCTTTAAAAAGAAAAAGCAAGAGAAAGGAAGCCTAAAAGGAAAAAGCAACCAGGATGGCTGATTGATTAATTGGGGTGAGGGTGGGGGAGGCAGTGAAATCATGCAAAAGTAGCCAGAAGAAATATACAGGATAGATTTTTTTTAATCCAAAATGATCGATTTCAACAAAGTGCAGTTAATCAATCTTAGTCAAAATGGTAGACAGAGGCTTTTAAAGACAAAAGAGCTGATAATAGCACTATGTTACAGACTGTTGCGGGTGGACATGAATTAACAAGCACATCAAGAAATAAAGAGGCCTAACAGGATTATAATTAGGAATGATTCTAGCTTCCACAGGATTAATTGGAAAACCTTTGAAACATGATAATGTGGAGGCAGAAGTGATGGATGTGGGAAGCAATTGTTTCCTGACTGTGTGGGTGGAGATCCACTCAGGAAGAACTTATTTCTATGACTAAGGAGGAAGAATTAAGACATTATCACAATAAGTAATGTGGAATTTCTGAATGATCCTGACACATGATTTTGTGGGTTCTGATTTGAAATTTTAAAAATAAATGTAAGGAAATGGAAAAAAAAAATCTGTCTTCCAGCACCTGCAGTGAAGGATAGGAGGGGAAGATCAGCAAATAAATAAATACAGCAGAAAAAAAAAAAAAAAAAAAAAAAAACATTCTCTGGTAAAGCTCATAAAAGTCATTTATTTAATGCCGGTCAGTGCACACTGTCTCAAATAAATATAAACTCTTTGGTGACAAAAACACATCCAATGAGAAATCAATTATCAAGAAAAGCTTTTAAAAAATTAAAGGTTAGATAAGATTATGGCAGAGGAAGCACACTGATCTCTGGGAAATTGCTTTTAAAAATGCCTCTGTCATCAGAGTAATGAGTGACATGTAAACATGGGTATATATGTTTATTTGGCATTTGCTATATTTGACTTTCAGCATCAAAAAGAATACTCACCCACACCTCAAAAATGTAATGGCATACAGAATTGGATAGCTGGCAAAAGTTAATAATCATTAGGGCAGAGAAACAGGAAGACATGAAAGAGAATTTGAGACAAAAGGCAATTCATTGCACTGAAGTTGCTGCTGCTCAGAAAGGGTCTAGGCTGGTCAGTGGTCAATGATGGGAACCGGAACCCATAAAATTGAGTTAGAACATAAAGTTTCCACCTACAGCATAACAGAAACCAAGGTCATTTACCAGCAGAGAAAGTACAAAGTGCAATTCATAGGAATCAGAGACAGGAATAGAAGTTGTAAGATTAGAGGCTGAAGGGGATACAATTAAAACAAAGGAGATCCAGGATTAAGCAGGAGAATCAGTCACAGGTGTTTTGAATGAGCGACTTTAACACCTCTGGCTGTCTGCTGCTAACTGCTAGGAGGCATATGGTGATTCTTAATTTGGCTCACTGTGGGTACACCAAAACAAAGATCCAAGTTGGTGAGCAGGGAAGCAGAGAGACAAGACATACTCCAGTGCTTCAGAGTTCCATCTCTGTTCATCTACATCAGCAAAGTGCAGGAACTAAAAATGGCCATGTCAAGACTCTTTTGTGGGCACTGTGTAGGTCTACTCAGGTTGTGCAGGTGATGGGACTTGTGGGACTTGACAGCTGCACAGTTATAATGAGGCTGTCACTCATGGTAACTGCAGGTTTATAGGTCCATTATGCCTCTAGCCAAGCAGCTATTAGAATCTTGACATTGGAAAAAAGGAGAGAAGAGAATGGGGTCCCCCCACATGCAATCTAGAGTAGCAAAACATACTGCAGAATCTAAGCAGGAAATATTTATATACACGTATTAAGAAGCAACACACCTTAAAAATTAAAGTGTGAAGTTCTCATACCCATCTCATAGTCAACTCAACTCTGAATCCTGTTGAGTTTGCAAGTTGGTGATATCTTCAATAGTGGGGGATGTCTCTTTAATAGTTAAAGGGGTCTATCTTTCCAGGAATATTTTCCAGGTTTTTATTTTTAAAGATCATTCCCTGAGATAACACACACAAAACAATCTACCCCCTGCCCATTGCACATATACTATCACATTGAAAATGGGTTTGTGTCAGATTGTTTCAAACTAAAACTTTCTGTCAGTTTGCACTGTAAACTTATCTCTTGATACCAAAATTATAACCACAACAAACCTAACCTACTGCATTAGCCTACAAAATGAGTGTCAATGTTGGGCAATTTCTAAAAGGTGTTGGATGTGGCTCATGAAACAATTAAGTCATTCAAATCTCCTTACCTCCAGAGGAATACCAACTATAACAAGAATTGGAACTCAGGTGTTTAAAGAAATGGAAAGCCACCCACCTATGTAAATCCAGAAAATATGACTAAGTTACATGTAACTGGCTCACTAGTTTAGACAGTCATCTTTGCTGCCTCTTAACATTTAAAAACTTTAGATTTAGACTTTTATTTTTCTGGGTTATTCTGTGTTTACTGAATACTGACAAATTTATTTGTTCCTTTAAACAACAGCTGGCAAATAGAACTTAAGCACTAAAGTGCACTGTAAAGGGAATTACAACTTAGAATACAAATGGAATGAAATTAAAGCTAGGAAATGATGCCAGATTGCTGACTATGAAGGCTGAATTTAAAATAGCAATAAGCAGAGGAGTAACATACATTACAGGATGTGTTTATGTGCCGCTCTCCTTCTGTAGGGGCACGCTTGATTCTTTCATTATCCCCACACAGACTGGGAAAAACAGAAGGCAACACATATGATTCACCCCACTTATTAACAGAGTGTGAATCACTTATCCAGAGCTACAAATCCCAGGTGGGGCCAAAATTTCAGACTGGCCAATAACAAAGGACCCCAGGGATCAGTGGCCCTGCTATGATATTCATTCTGTGAATGAATGACTGACTCTGGCACTCTCAAGTATGCCCCCAAAATACCCACCACCAGTTTTTAGCATACTAAAAATGTGGAAATCACATTCTGTTCTAGAAGATGGCATGTCTTAACATGGAACAGAGAAGTGGTCTCATATACTGTCCTCACAAGTAATTTATTTTAGAAAAGAATCCTCATCATAAAGTTTTACAATCATACATCCTATAAAGTATGGTCCCATCAAAAATTCCAATAAGAAAACTTTTGAGAAAAAGTAATGCAGAGAAAAGGGCTGCCTTGTGTATTATCTAGCAATTGCAGAGTTCACTGCTATTTTTAAAGTCTTCAGCATGAATTTTCTTGACTTATCCACACAACTCCATCAAATTATTTATTTTCTCCAAGGTTCTAAGTATTAACTAAAAATCTAAAAGAATGATTTTGGTAAAAAGGAAAAGTTCTTATTACCAGACTTCTGCAGATTTCCTGGCTCCAGCCAACTCAAAGGATTTTGACAGGCCACTTGATTCAAAGAGCTCTCACACTAATTTCTAAGCCCATGTTCCTCCCTCTTCTCCCATTGTTTCTCTTTGAGAGTCCTCTTGCCTTCCCCTTAATCAATTCTATATCATTCAACCCTCTCTCAATTGCACTTGTTCATTAGGCAGGTATGTTCTACCTCTGGGCGTGGAAATTTCTTTAGCCCCCTTATGAAGTCTGTGCTATAGGCCAGTCAATAAATTTGCAGCCCCCTTCCTAACATATGCAGAGCCTGAAGCAAGAGTATAAATAGAGTCCTATGTACCATATGCCTAAAATACTTAAAAGCCATAAATCAATCTAACAAGCTGCTAGAAATAAAATATTTGTTTTATCCTTCCACCACTGCACATACACCTTTATGGTGAAAGTATTATGTGTACATGTGAGTGCAAACGTGTGTAAAGCTGTAGCCCACAATGAATAATTGTGCATAACATATATTAAAAATTAACATCCCTCTGATCTCCTATCTCTCCTCTAGTGATCTTCCTTCCTTATTTTTTTAACTGGGGGGGAGGAGGAAGGGAAAGGGAAAGTTCTGGGGATTAAAGTGGAGAAAATTATATTATATGCATTTATGAATATGTCAAAATGAACCCCACTAATATATATATATAGTAATAATAATAATATATAATAATATATAATAATAATAATATATAATAATAATAATAATATATAATAATAATAATATATAGTAATATATATATATATATATATAGTAATAACATAAAAATTTTACAACATTTTTGCCAAAGATGATGGTTGTCTTTGGGGCTTGGCTTGGAGTGAAGAGATGAAAAGGGAAACAGTTCTTCCTTGCTGACTCACCCTGACCTGATCCCTCGAATCTTCTCTTCCTTTCACTCAGGGTCACTACAGCTCAAACTCCCCTCACTGTCCAGACGCCTGAGGAAGTTCATGAGTATGTTGCCTCTGAGGTTTCTCCTCTGTTGAAAGAATCCCCACAGATAACCTCTGTCCCATCCCTGCTGTCAACTGTCTTTCAAGTTCCTCAAAGGAACCTACATCTAGAAAACCAGATACAAATCTAAAGCTCTCAGACCTCTCAGAGTTCTAAGCCAGAATATGATGATGCCTGGCCCGCTTCTTCTTGCACCCAAGCCGTGGCCCACACTATGAGGGATGAGTCTCTGCATATAAATATGGATACTCCAACCTACAAGTCCAAGTTCCATCCCAGCAAGACTCCCTCCTTGACCCGAGTATAGT